AATTTTGTTGGATCATCAAAAAAATAATTATGTTGGAAATTAGAAAATAAGCAATGTGTAAAAAATTGTGATATTATTAATAAATCACACACACACACACACACACACACACATACACACACACACACACATACACACACACACACACACACACAGAGTTTGAGTTCCCTACAAAAATAATTTTCAGATCTCTATCCATCAAAATTTTAAATTTTTTTAGTAAAATCATTCTTTCCGTGTAATAATAATAAAAAGATCTATCATTAAATAATTTTTGATATAATAAATTTTGTGGAGGAATGATAAACTTGCGCGGCAAGTAATAAATTCATTTCGTGCTTATTTGATCGAATTGTTAAGATAATATTCGTGCAATGCGACAAGAAATTCAAACGCGCCTAATTTTCTCTCACGGTCCTATCGACGATGCCAGGATGATCCCGTTAACAGGATCAAGACTCATGCTAGACGAAGGGTTCTTGTTATTCGCAATCACCTTCGCACCCGATCCTTGGGGATCGCAGATCCCCTGTATTTATTTCCCGCTACTTCATGAGAATCATCCTAAAGAGTAGGATGTTCATTTGTGGCTGCACAATAAAAGAAATTATTTACTTCTGCTTAAATGAGATTTTATCACGAGATTTGTAATATTTTAAATGATACACTTTTTAATATATTGTTGCGAAAATATTAAATTAAAAATAAACTAAAATTTACTTGATATACATAAACTAACATGCGAAAATATATAATTATAAGCATTTTAAGTAGTATATGCAGAAAAGTATAATAACTTAATTAAAGAGGAAACATTTTTAATTAATTTTAATTATTTATGATTTATAAACGTAATATATAAATTATTACAATATTAAATTATCATTCAAAATTTATAAAGTAAATTTATAAAGTAAATTATCAAATACTAATTATATCTCACTTTATCTTGACTCACTTTATTTTTTGAAAAATTTTTGTACATATATAATTTTTGTTGTTGTTTGTTACATATATAATTTACATAGTACAAAATTATAAAAAATTATAACTTAATTTTATTTTCATAACTAATATTAATTAAATAGAGAAAACATGTATACATTTTCATTCAGAATTCATAACTTTAAATAACTACTAGTTATGTATTTTAAATTAATTCTATATCTTATATTCTTCTTCGAAAAATTTTTTATATCTATATTCATATTTATATTTGTTCTTTCACAAAAAGAATAATTTTGTTGTACGATCAAAATATTTAGGAATCTCAAACATGATGAACAATGCTACAAACAATTTTGACATTTTAGAAACCAAATTGAGTATTCTACTTAATTATTTTAACACAAAATTATTTTTAGATATACATCTAGCTAAAATTTTAAATAATTCAACAAAAGCATCCTTTCCATATAATTTATCAATATAAATTTATCATCAATTTTTTTTTTATAGCTAATATTAATTAGATATAGAAAATATATTATTATTTAGGATTTATAAATTCAAATGACTACTAATTATATATTTTTTACTTATTCTATATAAAATATCTTCTCTTTTGAAAATTTATGTAGTGCATTATAAACTTATTGTTAATTTTATTTTCACACCTAATATTAATTAAATGGAAATTAGATAAACGAGGTTGAGCGTAATGAATTTAATGATGGAACGATGTATACTTCCGTGAGGCGCAGACTTTTGTTTTTCTCTGTAGAATGTAATTTAAAATTTTCATCTCGGAAAGAGATCTCTTTAAAACATTCATCCGCCGTCTAATATAAATAATCCATATTCTTTATTTTGGATCTTTATGAAGATTGAGGAAAAGTTTTGATTCAACGATTATGCATATCTCTCTTAGCGCACAGTTGCGCGAAGTTGCAACTTTACGAAGCGTATGATGAAGCGACGGGCCTAAATTCTCAAAGCTATTTCGCAATTCACTCGTTCTTATATAGACATCAAGTTGAAGAGACTTCCGCCTCTTCATCTCGAGCGCGCCTTTATCGTCAGACTAATGATTTGCAAACAATGTCTTTCAGCCCGTTTCTCTCGTTACGAAATTTTCAACAGGCGTTGGTACATGAACAAGACATCTTGAAACTTTCGAAAAATAAAAGACAAAAGTAAAGAAAATCTCATCTATCATGAGTTCCATTTATGCCATTGTCCGAATTTTATTTGCTCAAGTGCTTTCTTAAATGTACTGCAAAGAGCGAATTACTAAGATTATAACAAATGTATTCTAGTAAGTTATGTAACGTTTAAATATATTGTACTATATTTTATTTATGCAATTCAATTTCCTTGCATTGTAAATAAAAATTTTAATTCATTAATTTATTTTTATAGCTGTAAAGCCTTTTCTTTAAAGAGATACTATAATAAAGAGATACTATAATTAAGAAATTTAGTCAGAAATTTTTATTGCAAAAAATATTTTTAGTTTTTAATTTTCTTTCAAGAATATAAATAAACAACAATAATATAATTTAGTAGAAAATTAATATCTTTCATGCTAAAGAGCAATAAATAATTAAAATATTCTCTATATTTTGTATAACTAATATTCTCTGTAACTTTCTTGATGACTATACATAGAATATTTTTTATTACATTATTTATTATTATTATTAAACTTTCTATTTCCACAATATTAAACTTTTTAAAAAAAATTTTTTTAGTTTATAAAAATTACATAATGCATTACATAACATATAATGTAATCAACAAAATAAAAAATTTAAATAACATTATAATAATTATAACATTATAATAATTTAATAAAGTATATAAATAACAAATTACGTGTTACGTAAAAATCTTTGTAATATATTTATATATTCTTCATTTATATTTACTTTTACTGGCATTCAAAAATTGTCCTTTATTATATACACAATAGCGCCATCTCTTGAGGAAATGAATTATCCTTTGCCTTTGCCCTAATGTAGTATGATAGCAGTATTCTCAAAGGGAATGTACCATCCTAAGGTTAACAATAAACGAAATATATTCTTACAGCTGCAGCTACAATCGTTAAAAACGCATTTGTTAGATTGAAAAAAAATGATATGTAACTTTATAATATGTCTTTTTTTTTTTATAGCGACCCAACCAAGAATGAAGATATCAAGGAAGACATTAGTTGCTGAAAAAAAATACTGTTATTTGAAACGAATATTAATAGACTCTTGAATCACATATGCAGTACATTTACAGAAAGAAAAGAGAAGACATTGAATTAAGCCAGATTCCGAATATCCTAGTTGATTATGGAATATTATTAGAAGCTCCTTCTTTAGGAGAATTGGAAATAAAAACAGTATTGGGAGAAAATTGTGATTACTTAGTTTAAGTACAAACTTAGACTGACTAGAAATTTTAATTTACTTTCATAAAAATATATCGCGTATACATAGTGCACCTGCCATTTAATATATTCGAAAAGTGCTGAAAATTATTACTTCTGTATTATAAATCAAAGTTAGTAGAAATAATATAAAAGTTAATAGAAATAATAAATGAAAATAAATAAAATTCTGTATATTATAGTTATCTTTTACTTATTGTCACGATCGACAAAATCAGAACAGTTTATTTGAAGGATGATTAGTAATAAGTGTCTTTCTTAATTACATGAATGAGTTTAATATACTCGACAATTAAAAATGGGTTTGTCATTAATGACAAATTGAGCTTAGGCACATTATGCTAAATCATAAATAAGCAAATATATGATCATAATGTATTTTATCATATCACGATTCAATCGATAATTTTATATATTTGTTTTTTAATATTTTAAATATCCGAAATATATAGTACAAACATCTATCTTATATAAAGGCTACATGCCGATGAATTTTTTCTTTATACATATGAATGACACTGACATAGACAGATCATTGTGTTTATTATAATTAAAACGAAGAAATGTATCCGATCTGGCTCTGACAATTGATCCGATCTGACTATTTAAGGTAATTAATTCCGATAAAAACTTATCTAGAATAATTTGTAAATGAATTCTATCCCAAGTTTTCTCGTTTCAAGTCGCTACGTTTTTAATAGTTTATCGAATTATATACGCTTGTAATTATACTTTTTCTTAAAATTATTTAATTGAAGTGGCACCAATGATTGTTATTTGTTTTTCAGTACGTAGATATACATATATTTTCTTTTCTTTTTTTCATCATTTTACACTAATTATGCATCGTTTATTATAAATATCACAATTAATAATGTATGTTCATTTGTTGAATTATTTATCATTAGATACTTAATACGAAATTGAATGTAAATTTATATAATGATATATATATATATGTATGAATTAATATTTTGCATTTGTGGGATATTTATGTAATAAAGATTTGCGACGATGTAGCGTGACAAGATTTTAATAGCAAAATATGTTGAAAAAGCGATACATAAAAGATCAGACTATAAAAGATCAGTCGATATTTCAGTTCATTAATTATATATTGTGTAATTGATTTTATATATATATATATATAAATATATTATAAAACATATCATTTTGTGTATATATGTGTATTGCAATATAACTAAGATTTCAAAAGTATAGATATAACCGAAAGTTCGATTATAATTTCTACAATACAAAATGTTGATAGAATGCTAACGCATCTTATGTCTTTTTTGAGTTTTCATTACACATTGCACATAACAAATTTAAATAGACAAAGTGTCAATAATAATTACTTTTGAAATATATTGCTACTGAAGAAATAACACAGATGTTCGAGCCAGGTCTGTGAATTGATAATTGTAGAATCAAGTGTTGAACAAAATTGCATAATGATGTGGAACACATCTACGTGTTTTCGAAAGTATATCTCAATAATTGGACATACATATTGTACATACATATTGTGTGCGCATGAATGAATTATATTCTTATTTATATCATGGTCAAACAGTTCGATAGAGTATATAAACTGTCTGCGCGAATAAAATTTCACTGAAGAAATCGATCCCTTGGTTACGAGGTAAGGACCAATACACTTTAATGATCAATTTATTTCGGTTATATTAATATTAAAATCGATGTAATTTTGGTTGCAATTTTTGTAAACGATAATATTTTTGGATTATAAATTATGATACAATCACGTATTATCATAACGGATGTTTATTTGCAAACACTCGTTAAATGCAACTTGTGCGTGTACATATACTTCTGTAAAAATAAAAATAAAAAATAATTTTGTTAAGTAATATTGCATAGTTACGTTTGTCAATGATAAATTTGCAGATGAATCGTTGGATATTGGTTTTTACGGCATTAGCTGCTTTGGCTTCGATTGCCAACTCAGCAAGTAAGTATTACACGTGTATGTGTGTGTGTGTGTGTGTGTGTGTGTGTGTGTGTGTGTGTGTGTGTGTGTGTGTG